CAAGAAGAAGCGGCAACGGCGGCAGCGGACTCACTTTACAAGCCAGCAGCTGCAGGAGTTGGAGGCCACTTTCCAGAGGAACCGCTACCCAGACATGTCCACGCGCGAAGAAATAGCGGTGTGGACCAACCTTACCGAAGCCCGAGTTCGGGTAGGAGCAAGCTCCAACTCTGGGAAATTAGGGGAGGGCGTTGTTGAGCTGCAAGGCCCGCAGACCGGGGAGCAGGGAGGAGTAGGGAAGGCAACTCTGCCCCGCGGGGCGCTGGTGGGGAGCAGCTTTGCAAAGGCCTAGTGGCTGCCGGTGTTGCAAGATTACAGCTCCCCCTTCCGAGGCCGAGCTGCCTGCCTGGCGCAGGCGCTGGGAGCTACACCGGTTCGCTGCGGTGCCCTGCGCCCTCCTAAGCTGGGCCGCGTGGGCATTCCTCTGCAAAGGGCATTGTGTTCCCGGATTGCAGTCGCCAGACCAGAGCTAATAAAATCCCTCCCGGTCAGGAGCCGCGAACAGGCTCCAACCTGTGTGCCTTTAACAAGGAAAACCCAGCCAGACACGCAAGGGTTGGCCCTCCCTGGGAAACCTTCACGCCCGGCCTGGCTCAGCCATTTCTTTCTTCGGCTCGAGTTCTTTATACGGTCTTTTCGCCGGGGTATGGCCATTTATGTCTCTTTCAGACCCTATTCCCTGGTTTTGTGATCCTGGGAAGCAAAGTGTTATACAGAACTACTATCCTGCTAAATTCTCTTATAAGAGAAGTGAAAAAAGAAGACTTCAAATTTGRTTTATTTATCTTCTCTCAGGAGTTGAACTCTTTGAATACTGATACAACCCTCTACCAAATTACAATCATAGTTTTAGGAAAAGAGCTTACCTTAACTTTGAAGCAAATCTGCACTCTATGGATTGGCAAAAATGAGCTTAAATAAATTACCCAATAGCAACATCCTGGTTTGTGCTGGTCGGTGGAAAATTCCAAAATTGTTAGGATTCTGGAAGCGGCAAGCAGAACCAAGCAGCATCCAGAAGTTTTGCTGTTTAAAATGATTTTTTAAAAAGTGTTCTGGGTAGAAAAATAAAGTCCTCATAGCAAGGAAAACAAAAATAAGAAAACGTTAGGTAACAAAAACGGCGGCGAAAAGAATAAAAACCAAAATGTGCTTCTAAGCAAGAGGGAATGACGACACTCCTAGGAGGCATTTGTGCAGGGAATGAGGCTATGCTGGTAGATAAAAGAGCCAGGATGAAGTTTGATAGAGTTTTACTTTAACTGCCCGGAACCAGAGCTGGGACTAGGGCCGCGTGGTTTTGYGCGAGGTCAGTCTTCCATTAGCCTTCTTCAGCATCAGGGGAACGGGCCTTGCACGTACCCTTCTCGCCTGGACAAAGTTCAGAAGGCCTAGGGTAAAAATGGCACGTAATTAATATAAAAACACAGTTTGTGGGGTTCCTGGCATTCTTCGGAAAAGTCCTTCTCCCCCACCCGCTTTTCCATAGCCCCTCCCTTGTCCTCTGCAGCCGCTGCGCACGGATCTTGCTCCTTCCAGCTGCCTCCTTCCAGCGGCTGCTAGTTCAAGCCAAGTGGGAGTGAGGCGTGCTTTTTATAGCAGTCGGGTGCAAAGAGGAAGGGGGATAAAAAGGAAATCGAGAAAGAAAGGGAAAAAGCGGATTAGGTGGCTGGGACCCGCGGAGATGTGTAATGTGAAACATCACCGGTGTCAGCTCAGAAATCTCGGGCCAGGCCTCACTCCAATACACAAAAGACTCCGTCTGGGGCGACTGGTGGGCGCGATGTGGATTGGAGCGAGGTTGTGGCGGGGCCACCGGACGCGGGTGGGGGCTGACTGGCCTGGCCGGCCGCCTGCAAAACCAAAGGGTAGCGTCGGGTCAGGCCTGGGGTGGTCAAGGCACGCCTGAGGGGCCTGAAATGGGCGGAGTGTGAGACGAAGCAGAACCAAGGAAGGGGATCGAGAGACCGTCCCGTTCTGGGTTCTTGGAGTTTAAGGAGCAGATTGAGAAGGTGGTCCTCTGCTTTATGTTTGGTTGTTTTTCTAGGCGAGGAAGAGTGTCGCATTCCGGTTCTTGTTGAAGGGGCTCCTTCCAGGGGATGGGGACCACAGTGGAGATCCAAGAGGGGAGGGAGGAACTGTGCGGGTGAAAGAGCGGGTACTCCGGTGCCCTCCCACCCTCTTGTCCTCGTCACTGGGTCTGAGGCTTTGGAGTAGAAGCAAATTTACCAGGTGGTCTGGGAAGGGGTGGGCAGTCGGCTGACCCTCCTTTATTTCACAGTAAGAGTTTCTGGCCCCTGAGGAGGGTCTGGGTTCGTGATCAAGCGGCCCACAGCCCGCTAGACATGGCGGCCCAGCTCAGAACCCATGCTCACAGGCGGGAGCTGGCTGGGCCTCCCGGCTCTGACTGCGGCTTGGGGCTGGAAACAGTGCGGGCCTTGGCGGTGTGGGGTGCCTGGCTGCAGGGGTGCGTCGCGCACGCGCGTCTGGTGGAGGGTTGGCCTCTGGTGTTCTCTGTGATCTAGCTTTTATTAATCCCCACTGTGGCCTCTGTTTGCTCCCTTACCCTACCGCGCCCAGGTTTGGTTCAAGAATCGCCGAGCCAAATGGAGAAAGCGGGAGCGCAACCAGCAGGCCGAGCTGTGCAAGAATGGCTTCGGGCCGCAGTTCAACGGGCTTATGCAGCCCTACGACGACATGTACCCGGGCTATTCCTACAATAACTGGGCGGCCAAGGGCCTCACGTCAGCCTCCTTGTCCACTAAGAGCTTCCCCTTCTTCAACTCAATGAACGTCAATCCCCTGTCGTCACAGAGCATGTTTTCCCCGCCCAACTCCATCTCATCCATGAGTATGTCGTCCAGCATGGTGCCCTCCGCGGTGACGGGCGTTCCGGGCTCCAGCCTCAATAGCCTGAATAACTTGAACAACCTGAGCAGCCCGTCGCTGAATTCCGCGGTGCCGACACCCGCTTGTCCTTATGCGCCACCGACTCCTCCGTACGTTTATAGGGACACGTGTAACTCGAGCTTGGCCAGCCTGAGACTGAAAGCAAAGCAGCACTCCAGCTTCGGCTACGCCAGCGTGCAGAACCCTGCGTCCAACCTGAGTGCTTGCCAGTACGCAGTGGACCGGCCCGTGTGAGCCGCGCCCACTGCGCAGGGATTCTAGGACTGTGCGGGATCGGGCAACTCCGCCCTTGAAAGACTGGGAATTATGCTAGAAGGTCGTGGGCACTAAAGAAAGGAAGAGAAAAGGCAGATATAAGGAGAAAAGGAAACCACTGAATTAAAGAGAGAGCGCCTTTGTTTTCAAAGGAAAGTCCTCAGTGTCTGACATCTTTCACTAGAAGTATTTCCAACAGTTGCAAGGACACATACACAAACAAATGTTTGACTGGATATGACATTTTAACATTACTATAAGCTTGTTATTTTTTAAGTTTAGCATTGTTAACATTAAAATGACTGAAAGGATGTATATATATCGAAATGTCAAATTAATTTTATAAAAGCAGTTGTTAGTAATATCACAACAGTGTTTTTAAAGGTTRGGCTTTAAAATAAAGCATGTTATACAGAAGCGATTAGGATTTTTCGCTTGCGAGCAAGGGAATGTATATACTAAATGCCACACTGTATGTTTCTAACATATTATTATTATAAAAATGTGTGAATATCAGTTTTAGAATAGTTTCTCTGGTGGATGCAATGATGTTTCTGAAACTGCTATGTACAACCTACCCTGTGTATAACATTTCGTACAATATTATTGTTTTACTTTTCAGCAAATATGAAAAAATGTGTTTTATTTCATGGGAGTAAAATATACTGCATACAAATTGGTCTGAATTCTTTCTCCCCTCCTCTGTCACCTGGCCGAGGTGTCTCAGTCACTGCCTCCTAAACAAACTAGTTTCCTCTGCCTGCCAGTAAAACATACAAGGTGGCAGTACTTATTTAAATTTGGTAGAAATAAATTATAGTCCTGCATCAGAAATTAAAAAGAAAAAAAAGTGGGGGAGAAGACTCCTGGGGCTGGGGCTAGGGCTGGGRCGAGGGGGAAGATGGCAAAGTCTGGTCTTGTCTTTCAGATTTTTCTTTGGCTTAAACCCAGAGGATTCCATTATGCTAGAAACAACATAAAAGAAGAAGAAAGGTGAAAGAAATATAGACACATGACTCTCAAGTTCACCCCAACAGAGGAGAAACTGCACCTCCAGTCAATTGTTCTGGAGAAATGTGTATGCATGTATACATGTAYCATTTATATACATTCCTCTTAAGAGGAATATATCTATAATAAATTTATGTGGAAACACCTCCAGTTCAAAATATTTAGGCCTCTGCGTTTATCTTTCAGGCTTAAGTAGAGAGATCCTTCATGTTATATTGCATTACTATTTTCAAATCCTGTGGATACATGAAAAGAAACAAAGACCATTTCTAATAACTGCAGCCTTTCAGTTTCTCAAAGAGCCCAGGGGTTGAGAGGTTAGAGTGGAGTTTCCTGAGACTTGTCGAGCAATATGTAGTTGAGGCAAAGGTCATGCTCCCCGTGTTTTGTTTTAAATAATATTGACCCATTAATTCTAAACCTGCTTGTTCCTGAAATTATACAGGATTATAGTTTGCAAACTGCAGGACAATGAAGCAAATCAAGATGAATTACAGCCCTGGCCCTCCCTCCCATCCTCTGACATCTAAACTGGGAATGAGGTCGCTGAAAAAGTGTTTAAAAGAATTTTAACCACCCACACTTTCTTTATGGGTGCTTTTTAGATCTCTCTCTTTTTAAAAAGTGAAATTTGATTTCTTAAATAGTAGCAAATAGGACTTATTCCCAAGGAATTCATCSCCTTGGAGCTAGGAGAGTTATGGGGGAGGAGGAGGACTGCTGAGGTCTTTTGTTATTCTTGTCACCTCCACCCCCCCCACACACACACACCGCTCCCCACCCCGCCCCCTGGGCGAGGACAAACACCGTGCGGGGAATGGAGATCGAAAAGTAGCCGCTGATTTTCTGGAGCCGAGAAAACCTRTGTTTTTGCGCTTAGGTTGCTTTTATCTGACTGAAACTTTACCTAGAAGCTTTTGGAGCTCAGACACTGAGTCTTTGTTCTGCAAGGAACTGCTGCTGCCACTTAAGGAGATCTCAGATAATGTCCCCGATTGAAGATCAGTGCTCGACGCACATTAATTTTCTTTCTTTTCTTTCTTTCTCTTTTTAAAGCTCTGCCTTCGACCTGTGGCGGAATCACGCGGCAGTAGGGGGCAGATAGAAGCCCTTTGGACGAGGGTCACCTCCGTCCTTGTTGTTCACTTGAGAGCAGTGGAGAGGAAAACGGTCCCCACTGGCGGACTTTGGCTTCTGGAGCCCCGGGACCCACCGGTCCCTGCCTCCCCACGCCTCCTCCTGGTAGGGGATGAGGAGGGGGGGAGGGGGAGGGGGAGGGGAAGGAACTAGAAGAAGGATTTGGGGATCTAAGCTAGAAGCGCTAACGAGACCAGAGGGGAGAGTTTGCGTCTCCTCCAGGTCAGACCGAGGGTGACTTGGGAGCGCTGGGTAGAGGAGGTGAATCTCGGCCTAGTTTGTTTGCTCAAATAGAACTCCATCAATGGGGGGGGGGGGTAGGGGGGATGGAAGTCGAGTTTGGGAAGAGTTGTCATTTCCCCGACTGGAGTGGCGCAGACTGGGGGCGGAGACTTGGGACCGAAGAGAGGCCTTTTCTCAACCACCCCAGCTTTCCCTGGACTTCCAGAAGGAAGAATTTTACCTTCTCCTGGCTTCTTCCCCCACTCCCATCCCGGCTCGCCCGACAGGTCGCGCCTACTTTTCCCGTGGAGCGAGAGAAGCCTTCTTCCAGAGCCTGTGGGGTCGGTCTCCTTGACCCCTCCTGCTCCCTCCCCGGACCCCCTCCAGCCATCGCCACCATCCACCACCTCGGTTCCACTCAATCGATTTTTGCTGCATGTTAACATTTACTGGTGAGTTTGAGGGTATCTTTTTCTCCTTCTCTAGGTCTCTTAATGATTTCTGAGCTAGTTGTGTATTAAAGTGCTTATAGAAACCTTTAACGTTATAGCATGAGGACCAAYCTCCTCTTCTTGGGTTAAAAAATGGCGAGTCTGAGGTCGGGCCTGCGGAGCCCAAGCTTTTGGCCTCTGCTCACCTTCCTCACCAAGCCCGGAGCAGGGAGATGGTCCAGGCCTGCGGCAGGCAGCCTGCGCTCACCATCCGCGGTGTTGGGGCCTGCTTTTATCTCCCACTTGCCCACCTGTTACTCGGATCTTTTTCCACCTTGGTGTCTCTGGAGTATCCTCGGGTTTTTATTTCATTAAAAAAAAAAAAAAATCTCCACGGCCTCCAACCCTTGATTCTCCTAATACCGAATTCAGATTGGTGGAGATCTGGGGAAAGGTGTGTACAGCCCACGTTTATCTCCATTTCCTCTCAGTTCCCCAATCTGAGTTTTAATGTCTACAACTTGGTTATAAATTTAATTGTAAAAGATATTTTGGGAAACCCGGGCCCCATCGGCGCTTTGATTAGGAAGTGAATCCTCTTCTCTTTGGCCTGTTTTCTTCCACCCCCCCCCCTCCTTCCTACGAGGTGCTGAAACCCGGGAGTCCTTTTAGGAGTTTAACAAAAAAATTAATGGGAAAAAAATAAACAGTGTCTTTAAAGTCCCAATATTCCTCGAAAGCCCCATAAATTAACCCGGCGAATCCTTTTAAGGCGMGTCTATAAAAATCTAGTGAGATCTTGAAGGACAACCCTCCCCCAACCTCTGTCGCGAATGTGGCCAAACAAAGGTCTGTCCTGCAATCCACATCCTAATCCACGGGCGCCCCCGCCGCCGTCTCCCGGGCTTCCCGGCCTCCAGCCGCCCACAGGCGACCCATGCTACGGTGGGAGTCCCTGACTCACCGATTTAACTTTTTAAGAGAGGAGGAGAAAAGGAGGGGGTGTAATCGGATCAGAGGCCTTTATGAATATAGACTCCCTATTGATTGATTTATAAACCACCTCCGTCATCTCTCTCTCCCCCCTCCACGAACAGCAGTTAATGTAACAAGAAACGTTGCTAATAGAGAAAAGGTCTCCAAGTGAACGGGAGAAATTCTGGTAGCAAATATTCAGAAGGAATTTTTAAAATACCCTTCTTTTCTTATTTTCTCAATTATTTATATTTTAACTGATATTGAGAAAATGGTATAAAAGATGAGATTTTTAAAAAATGGGTTAAAAAGAAACACAATTGTAAACACACAACTACCTTTTTAGTTTTAGCAGATGATATAGGGAAATTTTTACTCTAATCTTAAAAGTTTATCACCTCCAACCCTTCTCTGGCACACACCTCCTCCCTGAGGGTGAACTTCTCATTGTTAACTTTTTATCTGAAAAAAATAGAAAACAGAATTTATTGTGTTTGGGATGCATAACTTCATCCAATTCTGTGGAGTATTTTATGCCCTTTATGCAAATGTTGATTTTAGATTTTGTTTGAAGATTAGACAAGTCCTTCAAAAAAAATGAAATATCCCATTGAAGTTGTATTTAATTCTACTAAATTGCCTTTWAAAAATTGCTCCTCCTTTTCTAACAATCCACTGTGAACACAGGCAATTTATGGAAACCAAGATATACTTGAAGCTGAAGTTACTTAGAAAAAAAGTCTAAAAGTACCATCTAAATTCCTTTTAATTGTAAAAAACACTTTTAAAACATGCAATGACTATATGGAAAAGGTGTATACTTTGGGGTATAGTGCAGTGGAATTGCAAATTTTTTTTTCCTTCGGAGAGACAACATAAGTTCAGACTCAATGGGCCCTTCATGACCAGGGTGTGTGTCTGCACTCTGACTTTGATGGATCTTTCTCCATCTAGTTCTCCCTTTCCAGTCTTCCGACCAAAAAAAAAAAAGAAAGAAAAAAAGGCATCATCCCCCCACTTTTGTCCTGTTATTTTCCCCTTCTACTGTCTTTGTCCCTAGCAAAGTTTTCACATTTTTGCTTTGTTGTTTTGTTTTTTTCCCTGCTCTAGCAACTTAGAAAATGACTCGTGAGGCTGGGACCTTAAGTACCGAGATTAAGGCATGCGGTGGTTTCCTGAGAGCCCCAAGACTCGCCATGTCAAAGCTTCCTCCTTCCAGAAGTAGCAAAGCTTCTGTCCCTCTGCCAGCAGTTTGCCTCAGCGGGGAACCCCCTGACTCGAAGTTCAGGGTAGGAACCTTTTCCCTCGTCGCTCTGGAATATGAAACCTAGAACAGTCCCCTCTGTCTTTGGAAGTGGTGGGGCACCACATCAGATTGTGATTTGGAACTCAGACTAGTGTAGTCCAGCAATTCTGCTTCTCTGGGTAGGTAGCAGGGTGGGGTTGCTGCACCYAACAGTAGTTTAATGGCATTTCCCTCTGCCCTACGGAAGGACTAGCCGGGCCTTCTGGGGCATCACTTCACGCAGTGGTTCCCTGCATTTGGTGGACCGCCAGTCTAGCTGACTTGACAGCTTCACCCCGCTGTGTGCGGGCGTGAGGGAGGGGGAGGGGAGACTGTGGACAGTGGTGGAGACCCTGCAGGCCATCCTCGGTGCTAAGGAAGGGGCTTTGCCTGCTAGTGCCCTAGGCTACAGACTACAGATCACTTTGTTTGAAAAATAAAATAATATCCAACAAAAGAAAGTGAAATAAAACCCTTCTTCTGTGGGCTCTGGGCCTCGGGCGATGTTCATTTACAGGACTTTACGGATCTCAGAGCCTTCGGCCCCCTTGAAATCCTTGAAATCGAGGGAGCCGTTCTTATCTGATGAGGTGGTGTCCTGTTTATCTGTTTCTCTGACAAGGAAAAAAAAAGCCCTTGGGTGAATGCTGGGCCACCATTCCCAGCCCCGGCCTTCCAGAGAGAAGCTCTCCAGTCCCGAACCTCCTTCAGCTGCGCAACTGGGCCCCCTTGCCAACCTCCAAGCACGAGGTCCTGGACAGTTGGTCAGRACATTCTGGACGCCTGCATTCCGCTTGGGTCAGGCGGCCAGGTCTTTAGAATGACGTTCCACCTGAGCGTGCCCCTAAGGGCGGCTTCTCCTACGGCCTCATTGGCCGCCTGAACCAGGACTCGGGGACAATTCCGTCCTCCCGCTTTCCATTAACCAGAGCACCTGTTGGATCTTAATGTTCATTTTTTTTTTTTTTTTTTGGCCAGTGACCTGGGGGAAGGGCGGTGGTAAGGCGTCCTGCCTCCCTTTACCCTGACAGTATTTTCAGAGGCAGTCGGAGAAGCGGGCCTTGGAGAGACACCTACACACCTCCGGGTCGCCCTCTTGGGTCCTGGCACTCTGCGGGTCTCTTGSACCACAAAACTGAAATCTAATCTGCAGCTACCGCCGCGCCCCCACTTCCCGCCCGCGTCCCGCCCGAAGCCCCAGGCTCCCGGGTCATCGCAGTCTGTTCCCTGGCGCGGCGCGGAAGGCCTTGCGGTCCAGCTGGGGAGACTCGCTGGCCCAGGCGCCTGCACTCAAGACGCCCCCSGCACGCGCCGCTTGGGACCTGGGCGGCTGCCTGGTGGCCGGTCCGGCTCGGCCCGGGTGCGGCCTTCTAGCGGTGCCTCCCGAAAAGCTCGATGGCCTGGGCTGTAGATGTGTCCTCCAAGGGAGTCTCGGGCAGGCGAAGCCCTCCCACCACACCCCTTCTCACCCTGTCTCGGGCCTCTGCGTCTTCACTCTGGAGCGGCCATATACCTTGAGTGGGTCATCCCTGCTGCCTCCTACTGCCTCTCGAAGCCCGGGGTTTGAACATTAACCGGCCAGAGCTATAGAGTAGGGTAAAACGTTACATATAAAAATGAATCATCTATCCGATCCTGGGAGCGATGACCTATAGCCAGCTCGGCGTTTTCAGCAGCCGCAGCAGTGCTATTACCCCAAGTTTCTTGTGACCCGCCACTTCCCAGGGACTGCATTCAGCTGCGCTGAGGACAGGTTCAGGTTGGAGGGTCGAGGGTTAATGAGCCAACCTTGTCCTTGAGGAGTCTGTGGTTAAGGACTACAAGCCAATGTCCTTTTTCTCCTATTTGAGAAATATCTAGAACAGATCTTTGTCTCTTATTAAACGTTGGTGGGGACAACTGTAATCTAGGAGGAACCCCTGCCGTCAGGGCCAAAGAAGTGCTGCACCTCTGGATTACAGGGTGGAATCCTAGAAAACRGGGCTAGGTGGGTAGGAAGTGGCAATAGAAGCCTAAGGACCCAGGACTGGAGAGGCGGGGAAGGTGCGCCGTGGGTGGCACTGGACCTGGCCCCTGAGGCTGAGGCCAAGCACAAGCCCTGGCCTGTGGACCACGATGAAATCCCAGGCTCTGGTTGGACCCCACCTCTCCTTCCACTCGCCTGGACAGTCTTTTGCTGACTCTGACTTATGTGATTCTTTCCACATAAATAATTGAAAGTCACAATGTTACTTCTGCACTAACTTATGCACTAGTGCTCAGCCAAATGCATGGTATTTGCAGAAGATAACAGAACTGAAGGAAGAATTAAAAGACTATGCACCTCCTGAGTTTTTGTGCCCTCACCTGGAAACGTTATGACTCAGGCACTCAACAAATTCCTGAATAGGAAGGTGACTCCTTTACTCCATCTCTGTTGTTCTCCCTCTTCCTAATCCTCACTTCCCCTCCCCCATTAAAAAAAAGTGAGATAAGATGGGTACAAGCAAGATATGTAATGCTATATAGCCCTCTCATTTGTTGCCAACAAACTCCAGAAAATTCTTGTACCTCTTAGGAAAATTGGTTCATTTATTATGCAAAATAATTATTTATGTAAAATTCAGTGCCTTGCCTGTAGTAACCTCTCAGTGATTCCCTGCTCCTCCCCCCCCCACCACCATGTTACCCTGAATGTCTACAAGGTTTTTCAGAGTCACTCAGCAGGCATCAAGCCTGGGTTGAATACCATGTACTAGTATTAATTGAACATCACCATTCTGCTAGTTCCTAGAGAATACAGCTTCAGTTCAAGATGTGATTACAGAGTGTTCATCACTTCACATAGTGTCACAACTCTAACTTTGTCATGCTCATGATATGCTATGTCATCCCCCTAGAGTAATTATAGCCCATCTTTTTGTTATCCCACTCCCCCAAGAAAAACAGAATTGATTCAATGTTCCACCAGTTTGCTCCAGAAAAACAATGAACACATCAAAGCAAATAAATAAAAAGAGGCATGAATCACACACTCAGTTGCCCTTCAGTAACTTAGAGACACAAGGAAGCATAAGTGGGGAAAGAGTATTTACTTTTAAAGGTGTCCATGGTTGGGGAAGGGAGTATTATAAAGAGTATGTATGGCAGCACTCAAATTGTCTTCTTCCCCACCAAACTACCATGTTATCTGACACCCTCAATCTATTTGTGTCCTGGGTAACAGACGGTTTGACTAAGAGGTCACAGACTAGAGGGCTTGGGTGACTGGAAACAAGTTTGACAAGGAAGGAATCTGGGTGGGGTGCCACCCTGGAGGTGGAGAGAGGATGAGGCCACAGTGGCTGGAGCAACTTGGCAACCCCAAGCCTCTGCTGGACCCTGCATTTACATGAGATGCATTGTCAGAGATTGGGGGATCAAGAATAGCTGCCAACACAACTGCATGGATCAGAGAAATTTAAGTCTCTGTCTACATCTCCTTATTTTCCTTTATATTCTACCCCCTTTATTTTCTCCTTTTCTTTTTGCTCTTATTCCATCTCAGTAGGCTTTCTCCAGAATCCTAGCTACTCCCTCTGCTTGACCTCTCTTTTAATTTAAGTCTTCAGATTGTCTTTCATATATAAAAGTTGTTCCATACAAACAAGAATCAACCTATAAACCATTCATACTCATAAATATGGAGTGCTTATATGAATCATAAAGGTTTTAGGACCAATAAGTATAGCATACAATACTAGAAACTGGCTTTTCAGAGCAAAAGAGGGACCAGGTGTGTGTTCTTTAATAAAACCCCACTGCATGCTGGATACTCCAGGAGGGTTGAGGAACATATTCCTATAACCCAGACAACATGACTTTTTTCATTGTGCCCCCCCCAAATGAAACCTCTCTGTTCAGTTTATCTTTCTTACCTTGGAAGCTCCTCCCCTGCTGAAATTGTCACCTGTGAACTTGCACACATTGCCTAAATTATGTGTTTGGGGAAAATAAAGAGCAGTCCTTTAATAGAGTTTATGTGTTAATAATATGAGTTCATCTCTGCATTTTTCATACAAAGGTCCTTGTTTTTCTTGTGCTTTATCCTTTTGTTCTTGACTCAGCAGTATTTTAGGGTGATTTTTCTTTTTGTTTTGTGTAATTAGAAAACACTTTCATTTTCATCCTGCAAATCTTTTAGACTAGAAAGATTGAAAGATCATCATTTCTTCTGCAGAAGAGCTGCTCCATTCCATTCTCCTTTGCACCTCTCTTTTCCTTTAGAACTTCTTCCAAAATCTCCTTAAGGTAATTCTAATTTCACAATTCTCTCCCCTTTTAATTTTTAAACTTCATTTCTGAGTGCCCTTGTTCCCATACTCCACAGCTAAATTTGTTTGAATTACTCCGCTGTCAATTATCAAAGAGGGTATTTTACTATGAGTTAAGTTGTTTTTTAGCTTCTTATGGGAGCCTGGCACAATACCTGGTAAAATATTAGATGTTCAATAAATGCCTATTGATCAAATGATATAATTAAAACCTTTGTTCACAAAAATACTAGTTCAAAGTCATTGAAATCTATTGAATTGGCATGTATTAAATCTCAGATTAGTTCTAATTAATTTCTAATCCTTTTCTCAACAAATCGGACATGTAAAAGAATTCTATAGCAGAAATTCCATCTTGATCTTTTTTTCATCATCTTCACTACATCACAGGATTTTTAGGATAAATCATGATCACTGTTCAAAAAGATATTGGACAAATTTTAATATTTTAATATATTTATATTAAAATAAAGAATTTAAAAAATCTATCCTGGAGAATATGTATGGTAAGGAATGTAGATAAAGGAGGTATGGAGGTATGTTTATTGCGGGGGAGGTGGAGGACACATAAATGACATAGAAGTTTCCAGTTTGCAATTGTCTAGGATAATTTTGCTAGTTAAGAGATTATATTTTCAATCTTCACATTATTTTGCATTTTAAAATATTTTGCTATTTACAATAGTATCAAACTATACTATGATTCATAGCATATTTAATAAAGTTGGATACTTTGGATAAAGTTGGGTCTCTCTCTCTCTCTCTCTCTCTCTCTCTCTCTCTCTCTCTCTCTCTCTCT